TGGAGCTCGATAAAGACGACACCAAGGCTCGTGAAACACGATATCAAGGACATTAGGGCTCATAGGAGAGGGTATTGAGGATATTGAAGAGATTGAGGCTGGTAGGAGAGAATACAGAGGAGATAAGAGTTCATAGTAGAGGATGTCAACGATAAAGGTTCTGGAACTCGATATCGACGATACCAAGATTCGTAAAATTCTTGGATTCGTGGGACACGATGTCAACGTGATTCTAACCCGTGGGACCCACTGTAAACGACCTTCGACGACTCGTGAAAACCGATACCGACAACACCAAAACCAATGTATCTCCGCGACACAGATATCTCTTCTTGAGGGAATACAGTGGGTGGTCAAGTTACTATGAACACTTGAAAATTTCCACTTATTTGGAGTTTGGTTAAAAATGGAAGAAAGAACATTTAAGGTGATATGTTCTTCGTTACAAAATATTAGGTGTGAAAATTAATTCTGTCCTATGGAACTATTGTTGAATAATGATATACTAAATACGATTGAAAAAGAGACAGTATTTTTGAATGTTGCTTCTTATAAAGGGACAAATGGCACTATATTCTCAATTTTGTTTATATTTTTAAAACCGTGTTCGCTATACAATTATATATAATTATGCATTTATAACTATGCAACTATATAATTATGCATTTGTAACTATGCAACTATATAATTATGCATTTGTAACTATGCAACTATATAATTATGCATTTGTTTAAGGAATATTGTAAAAGAAATGGTAAACACAATTTTTGTTTAGTACTTCACTATCTTCTGTGTAAGCTCCCAAAGGCCCATTCTCGTCCGTATATTAATTCAAGATCAAAAGTTTTGGGAAAAAAATATGTACAATTTGAAAAAGAACTGAATTTCAAACACCATAAAATGCGTAATTTTGTCAAAATCCTTCGAGATACATTCAAATATCACTAAAGACTGCGACATACTTATATAATTATTTAAAAAAAAGAAACTGATTGTCAAACACTTATATAACGTATAATTTTGTAAAAATCCTTTGAGATACGTCCAGATATCACTAAAGACATACTTAAGTAATTTGAGATGTTGCTATATTTATTGTTCGATTTCCCGTGGAACGACCCTAATTGTCTTTAAAGAAACGCCAGACAGTTAAATATCAGCCTAATAATTATCTCTATCAGGTCGCGTGTGTCTCGTGTCGTCAGTATTAGGACCCATGAGAGCGGAATTGTCACTGCCGAGTTTTCAGATCGCGCAAGTCCAAAATCATCTGTGTCGCGTCCTACAACATCACGATCGTCCATATCGATTCACACGAGTCTCGTGTAGTCGGTATCGATTCGTATTCAGGCTCATCTGTACTTGTGTCCCAGGGCCCCGTGGAAATGATCGGCACAGTCATCACTGACCAAAATTCGAGACACCAGTTTTAACTGACAATTAATTAATTAATAATTAATTAATTATTTAACCTCTTCTTTAAATTTACACTATTTTTACCTAATTTCGAACAGTTCACTGTACACTAATATTGGTAAAACAAAATATTATATATAAATTAAAGACAAATTTGTACTCTTTCATTCGCGATAAAAATGTAAGTGATGTAATGTACCATAAGTGACCTAAAACTTTTGTACAGCACTGTACATTTTTTGCGTTTAATTCAAAGATTTATCTACTATTAGGTTTGTACCAAAAGAGTCTTTCATGACTTGCACTCAGGTTACTCTATGTTACATTTTTATATAAGAAGGCAACCTACTTTCTTAGAAGTGATGTTATAACAGTAATAGGAGCAAAGTGGATACGCAATTCGATAATGTAATACAAAACATAAAATATTGTGTATGCATTATTCGTTAATGAAATGAAGGAAACTTTTGGAACAATCTAATATAGTGTATATAATTGTCCACGCAAATGATGTATACCGTGGTCAATACTGGTACTAATCAAAACTAGTGTTGGTCAAAACTAGTGTTGGTCTAAATTAGTATTAATCAAAACTAGAGTTGGTCAAAATTATTATTAATAAAAAGTAGTGTCTAACAAAACTAGTGGCTAAGAAAACTAGTGTTGGTCAAAATTAGTGTTAATCAAAACTAGTATCTAACAAAACCAGTAACTAAGAAAACTAGTGTTAATCAAAACTAGTGGCTAACAAAACTGGTGTCTAACAAACCTGGTGTCTAACAAACCTGGTGTCTAACAAACCTGGTGTCTAACAAACCTGGTGTCTAACAAAACTGGTGTCTAACAAAACTGGTGTCTAACAAAACTGGTGTCTAACAAAACTGGTGTCTAACGAAACTAATACCAGTGAGCTCTGTGTCGGTCATTTTCATGGGACCCGTGTCCCACGGGTTGCGCTAATTATCCTATCCTTCTTATATTTTCATAAGTACAACTTCGATTCGGTTTCGAGTGTATCGATCATCTCTCGCGTCGTTTGCTGTGTCAAAGTGAACGCTAACAGTCTCGTACGCGTGCTACGCACAGTAGTACGCGTTAGCGGTGAACGGAAGAGTTAAATCATACCTTTCGGTCTGTCTTCCTGCGGCGAGGCCACTCCACGCGTGATCTGTTCAGCCAGGGTTGCCTTGTCCTTGGGGTGGACATAATCGATGAAGGAACGACCTATCCACGCGTCCTTGGGATAGCCTAGTGCCGAGCATATCGAGGATGTCGTGTACAGCACCAGGCCGTCGTGCATCGAGATCACCGCGCAGAATCCCTCCTGTGGGATGCAACACGAAAGCAACAGGTTTAATTCAACATAGATTCCGAGTAATCCCATGAAATTTACCACTAAACCTTCCAACTTTTCTGTACACTTCTTATACACGATACAAAAATTATATATTATTGTTTCATTTATCATTTAATTAGTAAGAAGTGTTTTAACTGTTCGTAGGTTCGGTGTTAATAATTAGGCTGCGAATGTTTACGCATTTATGGAGTACGGAAAGCAAATGATAGTAAGCTGGGAGTCACAGTCACCTCAGAGGACTTAATGGGGGGATAGGGATACAATAGAGATAATTTCAAGATATGATTTATATTAGAAATTAAAGTTATTGACAAAGTAGTATGAAAGACTAAATAGTAGAAGGGAATATCGTTAGTTAATTACTGGATAAGAGAATAGAATTTAGGATAGAAATGTTTAACTAGAATAAGGTTTAGGTAATTGTATCGTATACAGTCAGTGTACGAAGTATTCGTACAGCAACCAATTAAAAATAAAATTAATAAGAAAAGAAATAAGAGGTTAAAAATAATAAACCTTAATTTACGCAAATTCTACTGTAAAAATACATACAATACTAGTATGTAGGAATGTTGGTTAATTATTTCTCCCCCTAAAATGTATTAATAAAATAAATATATGAAGTTTTATATTCAATTGGTTCCTGTACGAATACTTCTTACACTGACTGTCTATATTCTAAGTAAAATGTATAGCTTGAATAGGCGCCAACTCTTTCTATATCGACGCGATAAAGAAATAAAGCTGTCACCACTACTACATCTACTACTACAATACAATTACGTATTTATAGAAATGTAAGGAGATCTACGAGAATGTGAATAAATGCGAAATTACATAAAATATCAAGAACAACGTGAAAATGTTATACCTTTTATAAACAATTTCTCCAACTTTGCTGCTGCCGTTTAGACACACTACAGAGACACAAAACGCGACTTGAAACTCGAATGCAAGTATATCTACGTTTGATTGAACAAGTTTTACTCTTGAACGGTCCGTCGCACGTCCGAATCGTTCGCGATACGGAGCGTACTGAGAGCTCTGTAGGGTGCGGCGATCACATTGTTCGCGGAAAATCAAAACACGACCCTCGCGGAGTGACGTCACGTTTCGAAAGTTCAATAGGTGTGGCCTCTTATCTACGTGACTTTCGATATGTTTACCACGGCGATATCTTTAAATATTTCTTGGAAAAAAAACTATGTACGTTAACGTTCCTTGGGCCGAATTTTAGTTTCCGTTGATACTATTTGCAAAGCATTTACTTTAAAATTTCAAATTAGTAGATGCAGTCAGTGTAATAATTAGACTGCGGATCTTTATGAAAAATAAAATCTTCGCAAACGTGCCTAGAAAAATTGAACCTAAATAGGAATCTGTTTTATTTTGCAAATATTATAACGCGAACTTTACTTTCAATCTTTTATATATTCTTGCACATTGTTTGCATTTTGTAGCTTCTTGAACATTCAAATTTCCTATAAATGCATAAAGATCCGCAGTCTAGTAATAAGTATTTATACAGGAACCATTTGTTTCAAATTGTTTGCTGTACGAATACTTCTTACACTGACTGTAGACAAATAGTAATTTATAGCACCGTCAAGCGTCGTCAATACTGTTATTGGTCACCGATAAACTGTGGATTTTTATGCAAAATAAAATCTTTGGAAACGTACAAAAATTGAACCTACCGTCAATCATAAGTTTCGACGTCTTAAGAAGGTACTCTTTTATTTTAGTTCTATTATTTTATTTTACGCGAAATATACTACGTAACTCGTAATCAAATTATGCAAGACACTTAACGATTTTAGAAAATTACATATACGGTCAATCCCATAAACATTCGTACCCTCTTGTCTATTGAAGAATATTGACTAAATTAAATAATATTTATGATATCATGAATTTTTCATTACAAATATGTATATGAACAAGCTTATACGTGTATATATTTATATATACATCAACATATTTATACAACCATACACTCGAAAATATCAAATATGCCATTTAATTTAAACAAATTTCTTCGATAGACATAGAGGGTACGAATATTTATGGGATTGAACTTTACTTTCGATATTCTTTTATATTATTGTATATTGTATGGATTTTGTAGTTTCTTGTTTATTCAAATTTCCTGTAAATGCATACAAATCCACAGACTAGTTATCGGAGACGTTATGTTCGTGAAAAGTATCAAAATTATTTGCCAAATAGTGAATGCATTAGAAGAAATTAAAAAGAAAGGAATAGATTTACACTGCTTTCATAGTAAACAAGATTTATGGTTGCACTACATAAGCTAAGAAAATAATTTTAAAACTTAGCGAGGAGTTCGATTCAGTTTAAAAATTAAAAATTGTAGCCACTTAATTAATTTAATGCAGTTGCAGAATTCAACACATTCAAGTCCCTTCTACTAAGCAGAAAAAATTGTAGAAAGGTAGAGTTCCACCAATTCTACTCGATCTTGTTCCTCCCTGAAGAGACACCCACAATCGAGTACTACAAATATTGTAGGAGAAAAAGAATCGACTGATCGAGATCGTCAAGTCGACGTTCGAATTCTACAGAAAGGCTACTTTGATTAACCCTTTGAGACCTGAATAATTTTTTTTTCTCGTACTAATGTATCTAATTTTTAGGGTTAACATAGACTAAAATTAGTATGACGAAATTTTTTTAAATCCTAATAGTATTGTTTTTGAGAAAAACTGGTCTATCCTCATGTGCAAAAATAAGGAGATTCACCCGAAACGATAGTGTCCGTGATTTTTAAATATTGTGTCCTCAATTGTGAACGCCAGGTCTGAAAGGGTTAATTAAATCGTCTAAACGATTCCCGTTCTCCCAAAACTAACCACAAACACGATCACCAACTACTCAGTACACGTATTTTCCTACCACAATTACTATTAAAATAAATCCATTCCCCGTTGCTTTGCAACGGATACTAACATTTGCTTGAGAGGTGGAATCATCCAGAGGATTCGGACGAGAAGCAAGTCCTGCTTCGCCATCTGTGACGGTATCGCCGTTGTGCTCTCCGGGATCGGTTGCGTCCACCAATTCTACAGTAGCTATTTCTTCTTGTGCACAACCAACAGAAATTTCCTTTCGTTACATTGCGTTTAGACGTGATTATCTTATTTTGTCTTTCGTGGATAGAAATCGCGTTGAAAGCAACATCGTAAAAATTGTCTGACAAGTATTTCTTTGTACCCCGTTATACAGAGTGTCCCAGCATCGGTGGTACAACCGAGAAGAAGGTGATTCTACATGAAAAAACAAATCGAAAATAAGTAATAACATTTTTTCACTTGAGTGAAATTGAAATTGAATTGAATATTAAGCGAGTACGGGTACACTTAACTATGGCCTAGATAAATGGATCTCGATCCAGACTTTAAATTCACTCTAAATCCGTAGACAGAAATGAGTAATACAGCACATCATCTTGATACTAATGATATGAATACTACTTATAAGTCTCATATGTATAAACATACATATGACTTGTATCGGGATCCATCCATCTAAACCATAGTTACGTGTACGCGTACTCGCTGAATGTTCAAAACCGATTTTCTCGAAAACGAAACCTCAAATGAACAAATTTTATTCTTTATTTTCGATATGTTTTTTTATGTAGAATCACCCCCACCTCGGTTGTACTACCGATGCTGGGACACCCTGTATATTAATTACTAAAATATTTTTAAAACTGATACGAAATTGAGAAAATTTTTCCTCTTAAAAATAAAAAACGGTAAATGTTTGACCGCCTAGTTTCACAAGGGTCCTAAGACTGGATACACCTGGCTGACACGAGGCAATGTTCGCATCCAACTCTCGCTTCATTCATCGAGAAACCGTCGCGACTCCGTTAGCTGTTAATCGCGTTACAGTTGCATACGAGAGATATTTTTGCACCGTGCTTTTGATCTTGTCGTAATCTGGTATTCATGCGTGCGTGCGAGCAACGAAGGTGTGACGATCTAGCAATCCGGAGGCATCGCCATTACGCAATCGGATCTATTCTCGGTCGTAGGACGCGTGTCCTGGCCGCAGGACACGCCGTAGGACTCGTAACAGACCGAACGAAAAAAGCCTGCGTGAGAATCAGTTTTGTTCGGGGCGGATTATTAAAAATTATGTAAATAATTACGTAAATCGGAGACGCATCTAGATGTTATGTAAAGCCTGGCTCGATTCGATGGCTGGACTAACCGAGAGCTCGATCCTATCCCTTTGTTCGCGGAATAGTACCGAGCGATTATATAAAAGGAACAGAAGGAGAGCCGTGTTTAGAATGTTTCGTTTTGACACCGACGTTTTAACTCCACCGCCATGTGTAATTATTCGGACACCCTACGTGGATTGATTGTAAAAAAAAAGTCGTCACATTTTTTTAGGGGTAAGAATACTTCTGGGATTGACTTTATGAACTCTAAACTGAGTTATTTTGTTGTCCGACAAATTTAACACTAAACCTACGTTCATGTGTGACTATTCACAGTGTGACACTACTGCGATTAAAATAACTAATAGAACAAATAACTAATCTTAAAGACACTTTTTTTAATCAACCCATTACTGCCAGGTGAATTTAAAGCATTTAAGGCGCCACGATTTAACCCTTAAAAGCCTGATTTTACAAATTAAATTTAAAAAGATATCAATGTATTCATCGTTTGAACAATTTTGTCAACTGACGTTTATTTTTGTAACTTTTGTTCAAAAGAACACTACGCAATGGTAACACACATACACGGTCTGTCTAAAAAGAAACCGAACTTTTGCTATAAAAAGAAAAAAGTACAAGTAAAGTTTGTACACACACGTTTATTTACTCAAAATAATCTCCCTCTGCGTCAATGCAGTGTCAAAACAGCAATTGCAGTCTTGCACTGCAAAGGTCCTTCGAAATGTTAATTACGCGGTCTACACGCTGTATTGACGCAGAGGGAGATCATTTTGAGTAAATAAACGCGTGTGTACAAACTTTACTTGTACTTTTTTTCTTTTTATAGCAACAGTTCGGTTTCTTTTTAGATAGACCGTGTACAGCCAAATATTAAAAACAAACTGAATGCGAGTGTACGATTCGATTTAAAAGTCCGGTATGAAATTGGAAACTTAGGACATTTAAGAGTTAATACAACAGAAAGTGATATTAAATTTGTTGTTAAAAAAAAAAAAAAATTTGCGATTTTCTTTTGCAATAATTCGTGACTCAAAAGTCTATACACTTATCCCTCGAGTAATTGGAACCAATTTGAACTACGAGACATCAGTTGGTAGTGAATGGATTGAATGCAAAAATATTTTACTTGGAATTAAATTCAATAATGTATAAACTAATATACGATGTAATTCGTATACCGCATATAAAAACTGTATACATAAGTTTGAAAACGGACATTTGATCGGTTGTGGTAGGTTTAGTGTTAAATAAAAGTGAAGTAAACGTGCACTTCTACTCGGCCATTTTTTGATCACAACCAACCTGGTTTCTTTTCAAGTACAGGTTTCGATAAGACGACGACAGTATAGGAGACTGCCTCTGGTGGTGTGCTGGCGTTTTTCAAGGTAACGTTTGACTCGGTGTTAACAGCCAAGATCGCCTTCGACTTCTTCTTCTTGTGTTCTTTATCCTTTCTTTTGCTGATTGGCTGCGGTAGGGCTTCATTGCTATATTCGCGAAGACGTTACATGTACAAATGGAAAGAAAGTTCTAGTCTCGTCTAGCGAACAACATTATTATACAGGATGTCCCAGCCTTAGTGATACAGCGCTCTAACTTCAAAACTATTAGCCGAATGGAAAATTTCAAATATAGAAATTGCATGGTAAAGTGGGGCTCATGTTTCAGCGGGAAGGAATTTTTGTTAACTTTGATATTTAACGAGAGATGATGGTCAAGTTTCGTTTCTCAAATGAAACCATATACTACTATATTGTAGTAATATATTGTATATTGTAGTATTGTATAACAACTATATTGTATCACTAAGGCTGGGACACCTTTGTACATTGAAAAATTGGTACGGACGAGTTATATTTAATTATTTAATATTTTCTGAGTCTAATCATATTTCAGAGGGAGAATTTGGCAAATGAAGCAATCGCGATCGATGACAGGTCCTATGACCCTCAAAATGGATCCTAAAATTCGAGAAAAAGAAATTTTCAATATATCTTTATGCTCTCATTAATCGTCATAGTTAATCGTTTGATAATATTAATTGGTTTGGTGTGAAGAGCAATATTATTGTGTTTCATGCTGAGTCTGCTAACTGGATTTATCGGTAAGGCTTATCTGGAGAATTTTACTTTTGACGTTATTAATCGAATGAGTAATTTGTTAGATTAGTCGTATACTAATAAAGTATGTATTAATTAGAAATTAAGTAATTAGCAGCGGCAAACCTAAGTCAGCATTTGCTAAATAAGTGTTAATGATAAACATTGTCCCTTGTTGTCTGAAAGTAGGTTTTATGCTCGATTGCACAAGAACTAAAACGAACATTAATGTTTATAAATGAATTTACAATATATTCTTATCAAGTTTATGCTACCAAACGAGTTAAAGAAATTTAAAGATTTTATTATTCAAAGAACAACAGCTGCCTGATTATTGTAATATAACTTATGTATTTAATATTTATATTATAATTAATTTAATTAATATTAATTAATTAAAATAATATTAAAATAATTAATATTATAATTAATATTTATTTAGCAATTAGTGATGCATCAGATTGGCTTAAATTTTTGAAATTAAATACTTTCTGTTTGCGCTAGAATCAGCTTGCAATAATTCGTACTGAAAGTTAGATCATCGACGGACTTACAGCAGAGTAAGTTTTCAATAATTCCAGCAGAATCTTATCGCAAGATTCGTTCGACTATTGTGTGGGAACATCTCAGCATAGTAAACTATAGCGTCGCAAGCGGAAGGTATCAGACTTCTCACGTTCTGTTCAACGTGATACTAGAAACGTTGATATCCCTAACACACTGGAATGAGATATCAACTACAAATATTCTAAAAATAAGTGTGCGTTTCGTTGAAGCAACGAATGAAACACATACGCACGCGAACACGAGTTGCAGGTTAATTTGTTACATAAACGCTCCTTTTATTGTTATGAAAAGAAAGTTTCAAAGTCAAAGGGTGATTAGATTTCTATCATGTATTAGGTGGACTGGCAAGTAATGTCGTTTTTTCAATTTGAAATACTTGCTTATCACTCGCTAGCTCATTGATTTTTATCGATCCGGCATTCAAAATTTTTACACTAAATGGCAAAAGGCTGTTGATAACGACGGCGATTACATAATTAATTAAAAAATGGAGTTTATTCAAAATTTGTTTGAATTTAATGTAAAATAATCGACATTACATTCCAGTCCACCTAATATATAAAAAGTAAAAATAAATGAAAATTGGAAGAACCTTCGAAGAGATCTTGTATTGAAACTTAAATATAAATTGAATAAAAATAAATTTAAATGTGTATTTAAATTGTTATTAAATTTTGTTACCAGAAAATAAAACCTTGAAGGCCCTTTTGGAAACCCTTAATTAACCTGTAATATCTTCAATTTTACATTCAACTGAATAGATGTTTAAACAAATATTCGAGTGTATTAGGGGGGCCAGAAAGTAATGTCGTTTCTTTTACATTAAATAAATTCTTTCAAACAAATAAATTCATCATATGTTCTTATTTTTAATCAATTATGTAATTGTCCTCGTTATCAATAACCTTCTGCCATCTAGTATGCAATTGTTCAATACCTGATCGATAAAAATTGATTGGTACACGGTGAGCTGGTAAATAATAAACAAGTATTTGCATTTGCAGCAACGACATTACTTTCTGGTCTCCCTAATACAAGAAAGCATACTTGAGTATACTTAGTAGACCTCCCACGGATCGGTTACGCGAGATAACTTTCTCCAGGAAAAGCATCGACCAGAAAAATGCTACACATAACAAACGTCGAATCGTGACTGCATTCGTTACATCAGAAGGAGAAAGCGAATTTCTCTAATGATCTTTCTAAGCTTTCTTGCAGCCGTAAGGCCTATCGTTCAACCCGACCACTTCCGTCTTTGAGATAATGGTCCATGAATGACGAACTTACATCACCCGTGTTACATGTACATTTACTGGAAGAGGTTCTCTCGATGTAACTCATTTCTACACTGTCTTGTGCAAAACAATTTTCGCACGTTTATTCTTCGAATTTCTATTGAATATCTATTTAGAGTTTCGAATGTGCTTACGTAAAATTAAATATGTTTTAGATGAATATCGTTGTATAATTTGTTATTATTTTGTAGTTATAGTTCATATGTTTGTTTATACTACAATATTATATATAATAATATTATATATATGTGTAATATATTATATTATAAAATATATACATGTGCAATTATTTTTTATTCTTCATCATTCCATGTTCGATTTTCATCCCCACATTTTCTACATATATTTATCTATATTATGCTACATACACTTTCTATTACCTCCACACTTTTCAAACAAAATAGTGCTATCACATTTTAAATTGGAACTAATATTTTTCTTTTTTTACAGAAATGAGTTTATTCAGAGTTCTTTTCATTTATCGGGTTTTATTTACATTTTTATAATCATGTATACAAGCACCTCTTCGTGTTTAACTATTTGTATACCCAAAGAGAGCTCAGAAAAATACTCTTTACTCCGTCACTTTTCTTTTAGAAAAAGATCTGTATGGAATGAAGATATGTATTGGAATGAATCGCGATTGTTCTTGAATGAGAAATAAGAAACCGATGACTAAGAGGTCATTTTTTGCACAGTTTAGAAATTTATAATCCGATTTTATGAAATCACAATGAATTGTATATAATTCTATTCTTTTTGTGTATAAATAAAGTGAGTAAATAGTGTTAATGATTTTGTTAGATGGCATATGAAAAGAATAAATCAATTAATTTTGATTTGTTAAACGAAGACTAAGCGTTTGGTGTTCAATTATTATTTTTCTTTTCGAAAAAGATCACATTTCCATTTGGTTATTGTGACCAACAAACAATTTTCTTGTAATCTTCAATCGCAATGTTCAAATATCCGGTTTTTTTTTTTATTTTTTTTCTCTCTTTCGGCAACGCCCACGCGCGAAATCAGAAATAGACCGATTTTCCAATGTAATTTGCGGAGTGGACGTTGATTTATTATAACAGCGCGACGGTCCATCCGGATTATGCAACAATACGTGGGGATATCTCAAGCCACGTAGGCCGACGCCAATGGCGACATTGCCAGGCACGTGGCACGGCACATGCATCAATGTTTACAGCGATCGTTTGTGCGCGCTTTCTCGTAACTGAATGCAATCGTTCCATGTATGCGCAAGATGTGACGCGTGCTAAAAATTCACGTACAACGAGACAGTGTACGTCCTGGACGTGTCACCTTCGCAAACGTGGTAATTATGGAACGACCGCATACGTACGTGTCTATCACGGAAATAAAAAGCAATGACGATTAAACGAACCACCGACGGTCCCATTACGCGGATACCTGCGGATCAGAGTTGATCGTGGCAATATTCGCTCGAGCAAACAGGTTGGTGTTTGCATTTTAGAAATAATAAATGTATTGGAATGAATCGCGATTGTTCTTGAATGAGAAATAAAAAACGATGACTAAGAGGTCATTTCTTGCACTGTTTAGAAATTTATAATTTGATTTCATGAAATCGCAATAAATTGTATATAATTCTATTCTTTTTGTATATAAATAAATTGAGTAAATAGTGTTAATAATTTTGATGGCATATGAAAAGAATAAATCAATTAATTTTGATTTATTGAAACGAAGACTAAGCGTTTGGTGTTCAATTATTATTTTTGTTGAAATCGAAGTAAATAAACTCAAATAAATGTTGTATGTGACATATAAAATAAATTTATTTTGATTTGTTGAAATAGAGACCAAATGTTTGGTCTTAGATTATTATAATTTGTAGAAAATTCTTTATAATTCTCGAGTTTTTATTTATTTTTATAATTTATTTATGTTTATAATTACAACAATTGTAACAAAAGTAACCAATTGTCCTGCTAGGTTTTTTGCACCTATCAGCAACTCGTGTTCGCCTTTAAAACGATTATCTTCTCTTTAAATAATTTATTCAAAAGTTTATTTTATTTATTCAGGAAAATCGTTCACTGACTGCGATCCAGATCCGGAAAGAGTTACGTAACAGTTTATAAAAACTAATCATAATTGTATGCAGGAATAATCTCAAACGATAAGCAGGTTCTTACAGTATTGTTGCGTATTTGAATTTCAAATTGGATAACTCTTCTATCAGGGAGCACGTTCCCCTTGATCAGTACACGTTACCATGTAATACCCATTTAATGTTGTTGGCTACAACAGTAGTAGTACTCGGTTACTAATTTTACCGTAAACCGCTGTAGGCTTGCCTTCCAGGACGTAAATAGACGCCTGCGAATGGTTGACTACTATGATTGTTCAACGTCGCGCGTCGAATAACTTCCACTACTTGTGGGGCTCGATACTATCGCTAGCAAAAGTTTCAAATTTAAGAGTGTTGAGCTTATGGAATCACTTTGAACCACGTCTGGAATAATCACTGTTGTAATAAGTACAATCCAAAGAAATTTCCAATTTATATCAAATATCCTAGCTCACGAGTAATGAAATTTCTAATTTCTTTCTTAGAATCGAACGAGTCTCACATTTATTACAATATTTATTTATTACAATATCCTAGCACACGACCAATGAGATTTCTAATTTATTTCAAATGTGGCTCTCGCTAAAAAGAAATTTCCAATTTATTACAAATGTCCAAGCTCACGACCAATGAGATTTATAATTTATTTCAAATGTCCCTCTAACAAAATAGAAATTTCCAATTAATTTAAAATATCACCTCCTAGAATCAAATAAGTCTCCAATTTATTACAAATGTCCAAGTTTACGACCAATGAGATTTATAATTTATTTCAAATGTCCCTCTAACAAAAAATACTTCCAATTAATTTAAAATATCACCTCCTAGAATCGAATAAGTCTAAAATTTATTACAAATGTTCAAGGTCACGACCAGTGAGATTTATAATTTATTCAAAAAATTTCCTATCGCTAAGAACGTATAGCCACCAGACAAGATATTGTCCAAGACTACAAGACAATAAGTAGGTCATGTAGCATTCTGATAGAATGGGGGTGCGTCAGATACACGGTGGGACTGTTTTACCTAGTTACCCCTTACGTAAAGCTAGCCAAGAGAGATAAGTTACTTTCTACTGGATTCCTTACTCATGTTTGCTGAAGTCGAGGTCGTAATTAGATTGTCAATTATTTGAACTAGATTCAATGCTTGTCCTTCTCGTATCGATAATATTGCACTATACAATCCGATGAGAGCGACCCGAGAAATGTTCAACATGCAATATGTATATCGATCGTCGCGATTGCTTCTGTTCGTACCAATTTTCTTCTTCCTTTTCAGTGTTCAACGATACGATAAAGTAATTCGAATGGTGTGTTTTACCTGGATCCAAATGTCGAGGGACGCCTACCGCAATAACCGCTACTCGCTGAGCGGTTGCTGTTTCTCGAAATTGAGCTGCCACTGCTGAAACACACGATAAACATGGAATATTAATTTAAGAAAGCTTAATAAATGATTCTGGTAAAAATGGAATTCAAATGGAATTGTACTACAGCAGGTCGATTTCAAAATATTTAAAAAAATCGATACATTTATAATTGTTATTATTCGACTACAGAAGTTTATACAAATTCATATTTTCACATAACAGAAAAATAATTGAAAGTTGTATGAAAGAATGTCTTATCTTCTAAACAGTATAATGTTTATATCATTGTTGATATTTTATACATTTTCCATTTGTGCATTTTCATTTGCCATAAGTGGATAAATATCAAATACATAAATATTTGCAATGTAGTGATAGCGTACAGTACAAAAAGGTAGTTTATCATTGAATTTCATTAGTAAGTTAATTATTAAGTTCATTAGTAGATTTACTGTTAGATGTATATAAGGCAAAAGTGTGCGTCTCAGTGAGTCTCATAAGATCGAAGACATTCCTTGGAATGGTCTTGTTCGAGAGTATCGATTATAATCGTAGAATTCAAGCGCCCATAAGGTCTGACCATTAATTGACTATACTACTGCGGCGCTTATTCAGACGGTCTAACTACGGATGTCTCTTACTACTGAACGCTTCTACATGTGATTGTCAACGGACTTTGAGATTTAGATTTTTAATTAATACACTGGGGATGCTTATGAAAAATTATATTTTTACAGATTCATGTAAAGAATTGAAGTCCAAAGAAGAATAAGCTTTATTTTCTAAACAGTGTAATATATTCTTTATTAATGATATTTTATACCAATTAATGAAATTGATTTGGAGTGAATGAAATGAGTTGATATTTTATACTATTACATTATTTATATTATATTTTATATGTTATATTAATCAAAAATTAACATAACCAGCTCAAATATGAATTAATTATCAAACGCTCAATATTGCAGCACTTTCAATGTTTATTTTTTAAACAGTATAACATATTCTTTATTAATGATATTTTATACCAATCAATGAAATTGATTTCGAGTGAATGAAATGAGTTGATATTTTATACTATTACATTATTTATATTATATTTTATGTATTATATTAATCAAAAATTAACATAACCAGCTCAAATATGAATTAATTATCAAACACTCAATATTGCAATACTTTCAATGTTTGATATAATAAACATAATTCATTAATTAGTGTCTTCATTAATTTTACATTCCACGAGGAAAGATTCATAATTATAAATTAAACCCAACAAAAATTCTCGTTCCGTAAACTAAGGGTGTAAAAATCATTCTAAAAGAAATTCTGAGGATGCTTAACATCCTCCAAATTCCGTTCTCTTCGACGCTAGACGATTACGTGCGAGCTAGACGGAATTTTGCAAAAGCGCATTTCTCAAACGGCCTCGGCCCATTGGCCGATTAAACCGTCGCGTCGCCGCGAAAGTCGCGTTTAGCTGGCACAAAATCCGCGAAACCAGTCGCGGAACAGCGAGAGGGAGGCGAGGAAAAAGGTTCGATCACATGTTCGGCAAACGTGACCACCGCGATCGGCCCTTACGTCGGGGTCTTTCTGGCCTTTCACTGGCCTCATTATTCGCAAGAGAAGGGGCACACGGAGCTCCTACATTTGTTGCACCTCGTTTTAGTAGGAAAAATTATTGCATAAGGTCTGCTTCACGCTCGTGGCCCCGTGACTAGAACCGTCGAACGGGACCACGGGTTCAGGCTATCGATTCCGTTTCAGGGCTCCGCGTCGAATGGTGCCAAGGAAACCGCACACATTAACCAAATATTTAAACAAAAAGGAAGTTAACGGCGAAATTTTACATGTTCCCGAAATATTCCACGCCGATTTATCGCCATACAGTTCGTCTATAATTTAAATGAATTTACAAATATGTTTCAATAATGTGCCGAGCAAAGAACCGTATTTCTTTAATTGCAGTATATAGTTGATCCCTAATTCCATGAATGTTGCAAACATATGAAATTAATCTGCCAAGCTAGGTACCATGTTTTCATAATTACGTTAAATATATAGTTGATGTATAGTTTAAATGAATTTAGCGAATGTTCATTCTGTACCTTTATGTTTCATCATTTATTAATTTAAGTTTAAGTAGATGTATTTATTTGTCATTCTGTTATGTTAAGCTACCAACCATCTAATTTCTCGATATGATCCCCGTTACAATGAATCTATATATTGCATACTTAAATCTTAAGTGTACATGTACAAAGTTTGGTAGCCATCAAATTATTCTTCAATATTCTTAATAACTAAAATTATAAGAATAACATCTGTTCGTTCCAAAAAAGACAAATAGGATTATCCTCTTTAATTATTTATAATTAATTAAATAGGATTATCCTCTTTAATTATTTATAATTAATTTGTACCCATCAGTTGCAACTCGATCGAAAGCACCGGTCACAAAATTATTTAAAAAATACTTGAGCAGTTACTCGCCTATGGGCAAAATTTGATTCGAATAAATAGATGACGAATAAAGCCAAACGTACATCTATTTATTCGACTGTCTATTTACGTTCTAACTGATGAGTAACGAATAAAAAAAACTGTTAATCTCTTATTCGTCGTTCAAGATTTTTATCCATATAAAAATTCAAAGATGACAAACATTCTTATCTAGATGATAACATCGAATAATGAATAAACGATAAACAATTAAAATATAAATAATTATAAGCAACTGCATCACTCACTCGTTGAAAATAAATTAGAATTTGTTCCACAAAATAATATATATTTCACAACGAATAAATGAAATACTACCTGTTGAATCGAATGAATAACAAGGCGGTTTTATTCGTAGTGTATTACACGAATAGAATTTCTCCCACCTCTGAAGTTACACGTGACGGAAATATATGTTCGCGAAGCTTACACTTTGTCGCTCGTTTTCAATTGCACGTATACGTAAAACCGTTCGTAATTTATTGGTTGTATGGTATATGGAAAATTTGTCACGAACACACGGACAAACAGAGGATTATTGACGCAAAACATAGAAAGACGTGCTTCTGTATTCGAGCATCACGATACGGCGATGGTGTATGAGCACGTTGCATGCAGCTGCACGTTGCCAATAGGAAAATGGTTGCATGTTTCGGAAACGTGCGAGATATGCTATATCTGTGCTGGTGGCGATGAAAAATATATATGCTATAAATGTGACGGACGGTTCAACAGATTCGTAACAATTGGAAATATCAATTCTAACTTGGGCATTCTAAATGACCCTATTATTGTTTGGTTGCTGTCTTGTTATCGTAACAACTCTGAAATTTTAATTAAACTTTGCAAGGTTGTTTCTTCGGTTCGTTCTTTCTCGCAAAAATAAGGGATAAGTATATTGTATCAACAGTGTTTCAAGTATAGAGGGTGAAACAACCCTTAAGAGTTTCAACTCCCATTCTTGAGAACTGATGAAGACACACGGAAATTTTATTAAAAGAGAATTAACGAACTATAAAGAACGAGTTCAGTTAAAATTAGCTTCATGGATGTCATTAATAAATAAATTTAATTGCAAACTATGTAACGAACGCAAGTTCTTATTTGTATAAAATGTATGTCGAAAAATGTAATAATTCAAATAAAATAAAAGTTGACTCCAGAATGTAATACCGATAATAAACAAACTAGATTGCGGACCATGTCCAAATATAAATCTGTATTTGTACAAAATAATTATCGAAAAATGTAATAATTAATATCAAATAAAAATTGATTCCAAAATGTGAAAGTATATGAACACCTGTTGTTATATGATTCAGTATAAGACAAGGAGCTCCCCTTGTCACGTTGTGGTAAGATTATATATTCGGACACGTGTTTCGGATGACAAAAACATGACGTACAACACGTGTCCGAATATTGTAGAATTTTACAACGTGACAATAGGAAGTCCATGCACTACAATGAACCGAATAATAATTATTATCCGGCGTTATCAATTACAGTTATTAATAGAATTATTACTCATGTAGTTATGAAGATGTATCATATGTATGAGCCAAGTTGTATAGAAATAACTATCCACGTTCAAGCAGAATTTATTAATATATTCTATACAATTCAACATGTTTACTAATATTTGTAGTATTACTGAAGCTGATTTTAATTACAGTGTTTCTCTGTACATTCCAATGTTGTCCAAATAAGTAACAAATTAATTGGACTTATCTTTTGAAAATATTAAGTAGTTCATTTTTTTTAAATAAACTCTGTTTTCCAAGAGTAGCAGTGTCAGTAAACATTGTTATTAAAAAATAAAATCTCTGCAATATCTGATACAGCAAAGATAAGCAAATACATACACGTGATCCATATTTTACCACTCTGCCAAAATACATTAAAAGGTTCTTTCCTTCCGAGTTCTCTGCTCTAAAACAAATCACATGTCTAAGCTGCGCGAGCCATTTAGTTCAGTCACTTTCAACAATGCGGTAATCGGTAATCTAGCATTCATTCGACCTCTTTTCGCTGCGTTTCGCAATTTGCTAGAGTATGGGTGTATTAAAAGCGAACGTGGAAATGCAACCGGCATGCTTCGCTAAGAAACTAGTTAGCCTTAACCGTAGTGTTCGAGTTTCCATCTTTCTCGTTCGCTAGACTCTCCATCTGCCTCTCGCCTATACCAGTAGCAAACCGTGTCAATGCCAAGCATCCTGCGATACTCTGTGCACCACAGACCTGCTGGATATCCTAGCACCTCGCACAGATTCGACTTTCTGCGCCAATGAATGAAGATGACTAATGTAAAAGTCCTTACGAAGTACTTACTAATGTAAAAGCTTCTTTAGTAACATTATAAAATTAGGCTGAGCTTTAATGACCCAAGCTTTCAAAAGTAAAGATACCCAAATTTCCTTGGAGATTGATAT